TCCTGTCTCTGGGCTGGGCCCGCCCGCCCGTCCGGGCCCTTGGCGTCGCAGTGTGCTCGCAGTGGGCGTTTTCGCCTAGGCTCGGGCCCTGGGGGCCTCGCAGATCGATCCGGCTCGAACGAGGACGCCGCGACAGTAGATGGACAATATACTCGAGGAGGAGGAGGAGGAGGAGGAGGAGGAGGAGGAGGAGGAGGGGGAGGAGGAGGGGGAGGGGAGGAGGAGGGGAGGGGGAGGAGGAGGAGGAGGAGGAGGAGGAGGAGGAGGGAGGGAGGAGGAGGGGAGGAGGAGGAGGAGGAGAGGAGAAGGGGGAGGAGGAGGAGGAGGAGGAGGAGGAGGAGGAGGAGAGAGGAGGAGGAGAGAGGAGGAGGAGGGGAGGAGGAGGGGAGGAGGAGGAGGAGGAGGAGGAGGGAGGAGGAGGAGAGGAGGGAGGAGGAGGAGGAGGAGGAGGAGGAGGAGAGGAGGAGGAGGAGGGAGGAGGCGGAGGAGGAGGAGGAGGAGGAGGAGCCTCTCGAGGAGGGACGGGAAGGCCCACGGAGAGGAGGGACTGGGAGAAGGGAGGCCGAGAAAAGGCCAGTCGAGGTTGGGCAGAGGCCACCCCTCGAGGCGGCGAGGGAGGCCCAGAGAGGGACAGTAGATGGACAGCAGAGTCGAACCCTTACACATTCGAGGGAGATTCTACATCACCCCCGCGCCCCCGACATCGATGTTGATCTCCGTAAAGGCAGTGCTGTGGGCTTCGAATATTTCTGTCCACTCACGCCCCCCCCCGTCGCCACGCCATCAATATTAATTTCGGGGGGTCTGGGGGCATCTTGGGCCTCAGGGTTCGAATATAATGTCCATGTACGGGAGAGATGGGGCCCGGGGCTCGGGGCGTGATTTTCCGCGATGTCGCAATGCTTTCACAACGTCGGATCTCTCAGGGTGGGGGCCGTGCCCTCGCAGATCGATCCGGCTCGAAAAAGGACGCCGAGAGGGATGGCATCTGGAGCTCGCGGCGCGATGTTCCGCGGTGTCGCAACGTTTGAGAAGTTTCCGCGGAGCTTGGGAGTCCATCAGCCACTGAGAAGTTTTCAGCGCCTTCCCCGAAGACGCAGGAAACTTCTCAGAAGGTGCGGGGGCTTCTGAGAAGCCCCGCCGCCTTCTGAGGAGTTCTTTCTCACTTCCCCCCCTCGCTCGCCGCCGAGGAGGGCAGGAGGCTGGGAGGGCAGGGGGGCAGTGCTTTAGCAGGAGAAGGAGGAGGAGGAGGTGGAGGAGGAGGAGGAGGAGGAGGAGGAGGAGGAGGAGGAGAAGAGGAGGGGAAGAGGAGAGTGAAGGAGGGGGGGAGGGGGAGGAGGAGGAGAGGAGGAGGAGGAGGAGGAGGAGGAGGAGGAGGGAGGAGGAGGAGGAGGAGGAGAGGAGGAGGAGGAGGAGGAGGAGAGGAGGAGGGAGGAGGAGGGAGAGGAGGAGGAGGAGGAGGAGGAGGAGGAGGAGGGAGGAGGAGGAGGAGGAGGAGGGAGGAGGGAGGAGGAGGGAGGGAGGAGGGGGGGGGCCGCTTCTTGCTCCCAGCCTGGTGGCCTCCAGCCCCACCATGCGCTGCGCAGGTCGAGTGGGAGGCCCTGGGGGGAGGGGGGGGCCCCTCTGGGGGGAAGGGGGCTGGGGGCTCTGGGAGGTACAGTCGGACCGAGGTATAGGATCGAGGTCAGTTCGGGGAGGGTAATCTCGTGTTCTTCGTTTTGGTTGGCTGTTCTTGTGCACCCTGGGGAGGGTATACCGTGTGACGTTCTGTGTGTTTGAGCTGGCGGAGGGTCTCCTGTTCTTGAGGGATGTTCTTTGGGCTCAGGTCTGGCTGTGTTGAGGTCGACTGAGGTGGGTGCTTGGGATCGCTTGACCTCCCAGACTGTCGCAACTCTGGCGTCGTGATTTTCGAGTCGCACCGTGGGCGTGTCCCTCTTCCCTCGTGCCGGGCCTTCCTGCCGTGCCGCTCCCGAGGGCCACGTGGGCCCGGCGAGCGCCCCCGGCGGAAGACGAGCGGAGCTTCCACCCTACGCGGCATGAAGACGTCTGTCAGGAGGGAAACAAACACACAGGCACAACTCATCGTCGACTCCCCGGAAAATATGGGGAAATAGGGGAAGTGGGGGGGGGGAAGACGAAGCCCTGGGAAGTGGGGGGGGGAAGACGAGGCCCCAAAAACATAGGAACAGATTGGGAATCTGGCTACTTGTGTATATTCATCTGCGTGTCCCAGGGCCCCGTTCAGTCTGAGCTCCCCGTTCATGATGGCCCCAGGGGCCCGACGAAGGGCCCCGGGAGGCCGAACGCAAGAGGAGCGCGCCCGTGCCGAGCAGAGCGTGCACTCTGACGTCCTGTGTCTCCTCGCGCCGTGGGTCCCCCAGAAGTCTGCGGACGATCCATGGAGAGGAAGCGTGCTGCCAAATATTTTCCAGATGTCTAAAACATGTTTTTTGTAAACCTTCTAAACAAGTAAAAGCACGTTTAAGACATGCTTTAACCACATGTTAAGTTGTTGACGCGTCGAGAATCCCCACCGGCCCATCCAGAAACGATGCCCAGAGGAATTGCCTCGATCAGGGAAGTGGGCAGCACACAGGGGAAGCCATTCTGAGACATCTTGGGATATCTTGAGCCATCTTGGAGGTCATTTTGGGCTCTCCCAGGCGCTCCTGGAGTCATCTGAATCAGTGCCTCCCCCCCCCCAAGAGGCCAACCTATGGCTAAAACCTTCGTAAAATCAATGCTTTGGCATTCTTGCCGAGACCCCTTGGAGCATCTTGGGTGCTTCTGGGGGGTCTCTTGGGGCCTCTTGTGTGTCTCTTGGGGGCCTCCTGGGGGCCTCTTGGGAGCCTCTGGGGGCTATCTTTGGGTCATCTTGGGGCACCCTTGGGAGCCTTGGGGGCCATCTTTGGGCCATCTTGGGTGAGATCGATCACAGGAGGGGGGGGTACGGATTACAGTCGCCCCCCCATGAGGCCAAAATGGGGCCAAAACCTTAGTAAAATCAGTGATTTTGGCTTCCTCGCCGAGGCCGTTGCTCCGACGACTCGCGAGACCCCCTGTCCAGGTCCATGGGGAGGGGGTAGGGGGAGGGGTCAAGCTACTCCCTCCCCGCCCGCAAGCCGTCTCGCTCACTCCCACCCGCCCCGCCCTCCCAACACATACGTAGCACCCGAGCCTGGCCTGAGCCGCAGCATATGCAGCAGTCGTCTTTGGATGGCCAACTACTGGGGGCCAATCCGCCGCCGCCGCCGCCGCCGCCGCCGCCCTCGCTGCCAAATCGCCGCCGCCGCAGCCGCTGCGGCCGCAGTCGCTGCCGCCACCACTGCCGCCGCCGCCTCCGCCACCGCCGCCGCCGCCACCGCCGCCGCCGCCGCCGACGCCCCCGCCGCCGCCGCCGCCCCCGCCGCCGCCACCGCCGCAGCCGCCGCAGCCGCTGCCCCCGCCGCAGCCGCCGCCGCCGCCGCCGCCGCCAAGTGTACTCTGTATTGTTTTTTGAAAGGGATAGTGGGGGGAGGCCGCATCGGGTTCGCTGCGCATGCTTCGAATTTGGAGACAGAGTGTGTGTTGTATTGTTTTTTACAAGGGATGGTGGGGGCAGAGTGTGTTTTGTATTGTTTTTTGTTTCAAGGGATGGTGGGGGGGTGCCCGCATGGACCTGGGTTGGCTCCCAGTCGCCAGGGGTAAACCCCTCCCCGAAGGGGATGAAGGAGGGGTGGAAGAGGAAACTCCCTAAACCGCCGACGCCCAGAGGGCTGGTGGGTTTCAATGATAGGACCGTTAGGGTGCCCATTGTCGTGGCATCCGCAACCCTGGACCGGCTGTTGATGCAGCCCAAGCTGTTTCTGACGGTCCCGGGACCCGGCGAGGACAAAGATCAGAAAAAGGTGCGGCCATAATTTTTCCCGACGGTCTGCCTCGTGCCACGAGTCGAATCTCGGGCGGCCGTTTGGGAGAGTCCAGGCCTCCCCGAAACGCTTTCGGCGAGGCGCAGTTGCTGGAGGGCTCGGGCCGCACGACAGGGCACAGCAGGATAGGGAAACGGGGGACTGCGCAATCTGCCGCGCGCCGCTGGTTTTCGCCCCGCCGCCGGGCCCATTCCTCGATAGATCGAGGAATAGGCCCAGGCGGCGGGATGATGGGCCCATTCCTTGGTATATCTGGTTTTCGCCCCGCCGCACGCACACGCGGGCGCCTCCCGGCGCCAGGAGGCGCCAGGAAAGCTGGCCACATGAGCTGGTAGCAGATCATGGGAGCCTGGTGTACCCTGGTAGTTCTGTCTTTAGCGTCGTTTGGTGTCGATTGGCTTCTGGGAGTAGATGGCGCCGACGCAGCGCTGTTTGGCGCCAATTGGGGTCGACTTGGCGTCGACTAGCGTCGATTTGGCGTCGACGAGCGTCGATTCGCAGCAGCCGACAAGATGGTGTGGGAGGCTCCCACGAGTTGCCGCCGAAAGCGGATGCTCAACCCTGCCCTCTGCCAGCTATCCTGCCCTTGCGTTCCTGGGGAACGCATCCCCCCCCCCCCCCCCCCGAGGGTCGGAGTCGGCATCGAGGGTGAGCTGCAGCGCCCCCCATCCAAGATCGAGTCGGGCATGCCCCTCTACACCAGGGGTTTTCAAGAACAGTCAAGCAATAGTCCGGGGACGATTTTGGAATATTTGTTTTGAGCATGTTTTCAATATGTTGGGGTTTTCTTCCAAAATCCGCCTGCAAGAGGACAAGCCCGACCTAAGTCCAAGAGTCAAGCATTGGCTGAGCGTCCTGGCACGCCTAGAGGCCCACCAAAAGGATGCTCTGAGAGAACCTCTTGCAATCTGCACGGGACGTTATCATAACATTTATGGCTGGGACTGTCTTGTCTTCAGCACCTCCGGCTTATGTTTCAAGAACCTTGTTCTCATCATTAGAGCATGTTTGTATTCTAAGAATATTTCTGAGAGCCCAGAATAGTTCGTGGTAGGTGTCTCAGAATAGTTCGTGGTAGACGTGGCAGAATGCTGGGACTGTCGGTCCCTCCTCAAATGAGTGGCCGTGCCCTGAGCCGCCGCGGCCGGCGCCGGCATGGTCTGGCAGGTCGGGCGCGCGATCGGGGCGGGGGGCGCGCGCCGGGCAGCTCGGCGGATCGGGGCGGAGGGTACATGTGCGAGGAGGAGGAGGATGAGGCGGATGAGGATGAGGCGTGTACAGAGGCGGAGGAGGAGAAGGAGGAGGAGGAGGAGGAGGACGAGGCGGATGAGGATGAGGATGAGGCGTGTAGAATGAGGATGATGAGGAGGAGGAGTAGGATGAGGAGGATGAGGCGGATGAGGATGAGGCGTGTACAGAGGCGGAGGAGGAGGAGGAGGAGGCGGATGAGGATGAGAGGATGAGGATGAGGAGGGCGAGGAGGATGACGCTCCTCCCTTCCGTCCTCTCTCTGATTCTCCCCTCCTCTCCTCCTCCTCCTCCTCCTCCTCCTCCTGCTCCTCGTCCTTCTCCGCCTCCTCATCCTCCTCCTCATCCTCCTTTCTGCTCCACTTTGCTGCTGCTGCTGCTCCTCCTCCTCCTCCTCCTCTTCCCCCCTCCTCCCTTCTCCTCCCTCCTCCCTTCTCCTCCCTCCTCCCTCCTCCTGCTCCTTCTCCTCCTCATTTCCTCCTCCTCCTCCGCCCTCCCCCCTACGTCCTCCTCCATCCTCCCTCCTTCCTCCTTCTTCCTCCTCCTCCTCCTCCTCCTCCTCCTCCTCGGAATCGGAATCGGAATGGGGGTCTTAAGGCATGCGACATGGCTGCCTATCTAAGCAAACTGGGTCAAGGACGAGAGGGAGAGAGACGGGGTTTCAAGCCGTCCAGGACCAGACCCTGTCGGGTTCCCCCCAGGCCTCCTCAGGAGGGCTGCAGATATACGGGTCAACGGCGTCTGGTCTAGCTGACTGGGCGGCGGACAAGAGAGCGACGAGAAGATCCCGCTCCCTCCAACTGCTTCAGCCCTCCCCTGCATCGGCACAGAGCGTGGCCCTAGCGTCGGTGGCGGAGCCGAACCTCGCGTCGGGGCGGGCGAGGTTTTGGAACACCCCGAGACGAAAGGGAGACGCGAACGACGCCGCTGGGAGCTCACAGGCAAAAGGGATGCCTCGCACGGCAGCGGCAGCATGGAGAACCCCCGCCGCTTTCTGGAGCTGGTTCCCGTCACGAGCGATCCTGGCCTCCGAGGGCGAGAGGTCTCTGCGCCCCCAGAGGGGGCCGAGGCCGAGCGGAGAGGCCGCAGGACGCCATTGGGCCTCAAGGGCCCCAGGGCCGCAGGATCGGGGCGGGGTTCCGCGGCAGCTTGGTGCGTCGACGCCGTGCACTCTCGCGGCCACTCTGAGACAACCGCTCGTGTGTTGATGGCGGGCACGCGCATGTCCGAACCAGTCGCGGCATTCCTCGCTGGAGCCCTTGCCTTGGACGAGGCTGTCCAGGCGCTGGCCCAACGATTGTCGTTTACGTGCGACCGTCGTCTCGGTGACCTGGGCTCCGTGGAGAGAGAGGGAGAGAGAGAGAGAGAGAGAGAGAGAGAAAAAAAAAAAAAAAAAACAGATCGGCCCACGAGGCCCCCCCCCCGCCACCCAGATGAGGTCGAGCGCTCCAGCCGCAACCAGCGGAACCGCGAGGGTGGCCAGTCTGTCGAAGGGGGACGCTGAGAACAGAGTAGCCTAGCTTCTGAGCGGCGCAGGCAGCGTGATGTTGTTTATTGCTGGGTTCTGACTTAGAACAAGAACAACATGGGTGGCGCTGAACGGGAGCTCTGGGATGGCCATAGCTCGACGCACAGACTCGCTGGAGGCAGGCTCCACCAGCACTGTCGGATATTCAGCGGCAGCCTGAACGCATTGCCTGGACCGCATGTCAATCATAGGGCCATGAACTTTCACCTCTGGCGCAGAAGCATGGTTGCCTGGCAAACCCTTCTTGCGGTTCTCTGCCTGGGCTTGACGCGCGGCCTGTCGCCACATTTCGACATCTTCTTTGAGGGCGGTCCTCCCGCTCTGAAGTCATCTGTGCTTTCACCGATGGGTCCTATGAAGACTTGCCACAAGACGATGCGGTTGGGGGACACATTTGGGCCACGATTGACATGTGGTCCCGTAGGCCCACGCGTCAATGTTGTCATCTCGTTTGTGCTCCCTTTTTCACATGCATGGTTCGCTCATGCTCGGTACAAAGCCACATTCATAGTAGACGAAATTGGGAGCAAGACCTCCTCCGGCTTCGTTGCGACTGGCTTCTCTTTCCCAGGGGGGCCCCAAGAGCAACGTGTCGCACAGTTTTGGGCACAGCTTCTCTTCCGCATCTTGGTGCTGCCAGAAGAGAGCACGATCATCAACGTTTCTGAGCTGGGCCTTCAAGGATCGAGGACGGCTCCTACACACCCGGATCCAACGCTGCAGAGCCTCTTGCCCCGGGATATCCTTCTTCTTACTGTGCTGATTCATCCACTGCACATTTGCCCTATGCAAGGACGGCCATTACTCGTCCTTCTCAAGCAAAAAGCGCAGCGCGGTGAGGAGCCCCGATGGGGCTCGCGCCAGGAGCCCTGGGATATATCTTAATCTGGCAACCTGCAGGACCTGGGTGTCGTCAAGGCGACTGGCACGAAGAAGGGCCTCATAAGGTGTCTGAATTGCAGAATGGCTACCTAAGGACATCCCCAGCGCCCCCCCGGCAAGAGAACCCTGAGTGCGACCCATCTTCTTGAGGGCCCTCCATGACAAGTGATATCAAATTGCGACATTGAAGTGCATGGGCGACAAACCACAGGACCCGTTCTAAATAATTTCTTACACACGGGAATAGCTTCGCGGCTTCCCGGCGCTCCCTGCACAGGGCGAGTTTGGGCCCTGGCGCGGGCCGTCCTACCGGCCACCTCAGGGCTGAAGGACCCCTTGTCATTAATGAGGGCCCCGAGACAATGGGCGGCATGCTTGAAGCCCATGCGTTCTCCTGGTGGAAGCTGCGCCAAGGCCCCTTGGGCCCATGCAGTCTTCTCTGCGGCCTCGACGCCGCGTCCTGCGGGGCGGAGAAGGAAACATGTCGCGCCGACGTTCAATCTCAGGCAAGCCTCAAATACTTCGCGCTCGACTGCGGCAGCAGCCGCGGGCGCGCGCTCTTGCAGGTGCGCGGGGGTGGGCGAGGGGCCGACAATCGTGAGTTCATCCGCGAAGGCTCCCACGTCCTGTGGATCATTGTGATCGTGGGGTTGTGCAAAGCAGATGGGGGGCGTCAACAGGAGGTTGCCAGCCCAAGCCCCGCTCAGTCATTTTCCTGTGCACATCCCGAAGGGTGGGAGCGAAGCCGAGGTTGGACGCGTCGGTGGCAGGAACGGCCCCAGGTTTGCAGCCCAATGCGGGCCGCGCGAGCCCTCGGGCCCCACGGGCCCTCCCAAATCCGAACGCTTGCGTTTGGGCTAACAAAGCGTATGCATGCTGGTCGGGAACAAGGGGGTCCACAACGGGAGAGGAGGCAATGTTGCGCGTCAAAGTCACGGACAGGGCGCGCGTGGAGATTGGCCATGGCATTGTGGAAATCTGCCTCCTCCGAGGGGAGGTGCATCGCAGCCTTTCGCATCGCTGTGCAAAATGCTGCCATGAGAGATGCCCAAAGCGAAGGCTGATCTCTCGCCGGCAAACTGCGCGTACATCTTCGACGCAACGAAGTGGGTGGCAAAGTAAGTGCCCATCCCAGCCACGCTACCGCACTGCGAGTCCTGGAGGCCCGCTGCAAGTGAAGCGCTAAGGGGCCCTCTCACGAAACAATAGCGCAGCTTGCATATTGTATTTCCGATGAGAATATTGCGACGGCTGGAGGCGAAGACAGCCTGTGATTCTCCTTTGCTAATGCCTATGATTTCCCTTTGTTTGAACAATATTGGTTCCCTGCCAGCCATCCCAATTTTGAGGGGGATAGGGCGGGGGATGTGCGCGTGGGCTCCAGGGGCCTTCTGGGGGGCCCCGCAGGGGGGTCCTCCAGGGCCCGCCGCCGAAACAGCAGGAATATTTTGAGTCGGCCTCCGATGCCCAGGAAGAGAGCTGAAGTTTTCTAAGTTGCGCGGGGCGTCGGCAACAAGCGCCTTTCCCTGCTCATAGCAGGCGCAAGCTGCCTGAGTGGAGAGGGGGGGGGGGGGGGGGGCGATTGCGGTGGCACCGAAGTGCCCGTGTAAATCACTGGGGGCATCTTGAGCCGCCCCGAGGACGTTACCGTCGGTATCCTTGCGAAGGGGTAAGAGGGCAATCTCCGCGAGCCGCTTGTCTCCCAGAGCCAGGGGGGGGGGGGGGGGCGGGCGCGCTTCCATTCTAGCTTCGGCGAGGATCCATCAATGGCCACCCGAACGCCCTCTCTTTGTTGGTTAAGAAAATCACATTCGTCTTCCTGCTCTCTGCCTTTGGGCTTCGCCCGAGGTTGCAAGGAAGCAGGCGTGCGAGAGCGTGAACTCGGGGGGCTCGACGCGCTTCCAGGCGAAATCTTTGACGGCTGTTAGCAGTCGCATCCGCGGGTCAAGCAGCACCCGCGCCGGGGGCGAATCGTCGTCTCGCAGAAGGACTTCGCAGGCATGCTCGGCCAGGTCTCCTGCGCGAATGTGCTGGGCCTTTGGAAACAAGCGGCCCGCGTGCATATCAAAGCCTCTGGCGTGCGCCAAGTACCGCGGCGCGCGAGTGCTTTTGCGAGTCCGAACCAGGGAACAGGGGGGGGGGGGGGGGGGCGAAATGTAGGGACTGCGGGTCCGAACTCTGCCCCCAGCGAAACACGTCGGTTCGATCGCTAGTGCAGCTTACTGCGCGGGAGAGCCGGGCATTAACGTTGGTGCTCCATGGGTCGAGGCAGAAGCCTTCGCGGGAACGCTGGAATTCCCGTGCGCGCTGGGGGTCGGACATCTTCTGACGGCCCAGGAGAGGCGATCCAGCTTTGACGAACGAGGGAATCTGGGGCAACTCCAAGAGGGCCAGCACGGGAAAATGGTCTCCGTGTTCTCTCAGAGCTTCGAGTCCGCGTAGAACCCTGGCGTAGCTAGCTTGCGCTGAGAAGGGATGAGCAAGCAGTGGCCCAGGCGAGAGGGCCCAG